TATTCATTTTCAAAGGAGAAGTGGTGGTAAAATCGTCTTTCATTCCTCAATATCTTTGAGAAGATTATATGATTAGAGTCAGCATTAAATTTTTCAACATAGTACACTATTTTATTTTTCATTTATTTCAAAAAAGTTTCTTGCGGAGACACACTTCTGTTGGTTCATTTTAGTTTCTGATTGACTTGAGACCTACCAAAAATCTATTTTGACGAATAAAATTTATTGCTCTACTTGAATCCAGAGGAATCATCATCAAGTTATTTTTTAATGTACATTTTTCACAAGTGTTCAGCTTTTGACAGGACATCTTGCTTCTATTTGAGACATAATTCGTCAACTGGAAATACACCATCCTCATTTATATTCTGTAAAAAAGAAAAAGTAAATTTGATTATTAGTAGGGGTGGTCATTTTGTTCGTTGCTATTATTTGTTTTGAAAATTATGCGCCTAATATAACATCAATTTTGCTGTGACATATACAAAACATTTACAAGTAGCCATCAGCTCTCTCCATATAGGAAAAAAAAGTAATTTCGGTATTTGAATTCTCTCTGTCGGTTATATCATTAGACGGTGTGCTTGTTGCTGGTCTGTCGTGTCATGGAAGATATTGCATAAATTAACTATTGTTCTATTATCGTTTTTTACCTATTCTTTACAGTTTCTAAACAAAGCAAAGAAAAAAGAATTCTGTGAACCAGCTGAATACGTGTATTGCCGAGTTCAAAATTTGTAATACTCACGATCATCATCATTATCCTACATATTAAAAAATAAAGGATTATCATAGCTTTTCCAAGTTGCATTATCATTTCATTAATATTTTCAAATGCCTTTAGTGATACTCTATATTCTTCATGCTTGTCACGACGAGTTTTTCTCAACTGTTTAAGTAGTTGCTGGAACACAGAGTACTGTATCGATTTTAAAGATTCTAGCAGTTGTCTTTTGTTTTTCTGTATTGTTACATTGCAGATAAAACACACGTGATCTCTTTAATCTAAAAAATTTGGTAAGAAATCAGATAAAAATGGATAGTATTCGTTGATCAAATATCGATCAAATCGATAGGATTTCAAACTAATTAAAATTCTTTTTTTTTATGTACAAATACAGATTTCTCTAATTTGTCAGATATTGTGAAATCGATTATAGTCAATGCTAAGCTGATTTCTTTTCGAATTCTGATGAAACACGATCAAAAAGGAACGATGTGGTATTTGGTGTAGAAATTTGGACCCGATTTCTTCACTTCTATAGTGACACCCTAGTAACCCATCATAGACCATGAGATACTCTATTGACATACGACCCAGATCACGTATCAATAAGGGCTTATTGCAATGTACTAACTACTCTCTTATTGTATTTCTGAAGAACTTAGTAAAAGGAGGATGATGAAATGTGTTCCAAAATATATATAGAATAAAACAATACTGCTGTGGTTAGCAAAAGCAACTACACCGTCTTTCGCGTTTCACTCCTACAGAAATTGTGCTAGCAGTTTTTTTGTTTTACCTGATTCATTTGAAGCATTATTGTTATTTTGTTTTTTCTGCTATAGGAGTAAACTATTTGCAACTACTAAATGTAAACGATGAGCAATGCAACACATACGTTGGCTACCAATATTCATTTCTGTAATTACAAGAAAGCAGCGATGGTTTTGACTTGACAAAAGATAAATGGTGACGAACATAGTAACAATATTTGCTTTTAATTTGATCGACCAATTTGGTGAGATGAATACGTTGTAATAGTTTTACTCGATGAAGCACTGTATTGCGATGAGGTGGTTTGTAGCCTAAAATATAAAATGAAAGATAAACTGAAAACTTCCCATTTATATTTCAGCAACTTTTTATTATAGATATTCACATATAGTGGTATCAAATCTATGATTCTTATAGAATATTATTTTAAAACGTCGTCTACTACGTTTGATAAAGAGCACCGCAGTGTTTGTGTGCTTGTATCTTGTCTTACACTTAAGCAGATGGAAGACTGTCAATAATGATGTATTTTTGTTTTCTTCAGATTTCATTCAGAAAGGTAGCTTTTTTTAAATAGGGAAATGTCGTTTAAGCTTCTAATAATGAAATTATCCTATAATAACTTTCAAGAGTACTACACATTCTCTTGTATGTTGTCAAATCACTATTTGAATTCTTTGGGGTTTCTGATAGAAAATTTGTTCTAATCAAATTTTAACTCTAGTTAAACCAAGTGAAAATTTATTTGTATTATTAGTTTACTAGTATTTCATCGGTGTTTTTGTCACAAATTATTTGCATGTAGTCTCTCTAAGTAAAATGATATTATTTTAAACTGTTTCTTATGGATTAAAAGATACGATTTTTACTATTTTTAAAACGGCAAAATCAATCTATGTGAATAAAACATATATCACAGAATTATAACTGTTTTCATTTAAAAAATGACATCTGTTGATCAAAATTTAGTAAGAAGTTATATCATCAAATGGCAGGTGTCGTACCTGGCACAGCTTCTTGTATTAATTTTCAAACAAGAGGCTTTTCAAATGGTTTGAATAGTAAGCTGCTACGAATAATTGCTTCAACGGCAAGTTCATGTGATTGATCTTTTAATTTTTTTAGTTACTATCAATGTCGCGAGTATCTTTCAGACTCTCGTTAAGATTAAATGAGTTTTGTTGTATTGTTCTATTAAATGTTGACGAAGACTTGCAGTTAATAAAATTATTTATAGATATATGTATGCCACATAAGCAACATCGTGCATAATTTTTGTCATCATCTCGATTTGTGTATTTCCAAACAGATGAACGTTTAGCGGAATATAGCATAATAGTTTCATCATTTTTGGCATCAGCATGAGAAATGATAGATGATGTTTGTATTTCTACAAGTACTATCACTATTATCATGTAAATTGAAAGATGTTAAATGTCAAACAATGACTTTTCCGTTGTTTATTGATTATTGTTGTTCACTGATTAATAGCAACTTTATGATTTGTATCTTAATTGAAATTAAACTCAGATCGAATGAGTATTAGAGCGAATATGGCATAGACGCTGATGATGAATTAGCACTAGATTTAATTCTGTTGATGGTATATTGTCATAGTACTCTAAAAGATCTTGCCGTTGCAGGTGAAATAATTATCATGAATATTCCAAAAAATGAAAATTGAAATCATCTAATAAAAACAAATGAATTATTCTGCATAAGACTTTGAATGATAATCACGTGGCAATTAATCGTCAAATGTTCTTTTGCACACGATGCAATCGTTCTTCTACGAAAACTTGTTGTATATTTATATTCTTTTCTTCTGTGATGTTTTTCTCTCCAATCCAGAAGAAACGTTCAATAACAGAACAGAGACAAAATCGATCAGAAAGAAGATAGCGAACACATTCAGGAATAAAATTTAATTATTGAATATATTTCTTATTGATTCAACTTCTATATCTTCTGTCATAAGAGCTATATTCTACTGATGCTAAAAAATGAACGTCATCATGATTCATTTGGTGAAAAATAGTTCTTCATCATCGTATATGTAGAGTTAACAAATCACACGACAAAATAACTATAATTTATGATTTTCATACTGAAAATTACATATCGAAAAAGAATGTTTTCGGCATGAAAATTTTCTTTATTCTTCCATTTTCATAATACAAACGACTAACTGAAGCGAGCATACACAATCGAAAAATCGTAATAAAATAAATTTCATTTGTGAATGAGAATGCAAGAAAAATCTTATTGATGATGAGAAGAAAATGTTCTACAATAACAATTAGTAGCGATCTAGGCATACACCCGTATGAAACCAGTAAGTGGGCAAAAAAAATCAAGTTTAGCTGAACTACCTAAGTAGATAACACTTACTGGAAGTAATGCATTCATAATCAGAGCTGCTGATCAAGCTAAGTCAAAGTTATTGGCTCAGCTCCGACAATTGGAAAGCCCAATTTTGATGTATTGCTTTACTATTCGAGAGTATACTGACACCTATATTCGACTTCACAGCAAATCCTTGAGCCAGACATCAATTCAGTGTTGTAGAGCATATATTGACCGGTAGAAGAACTTGTTTAAATTCAAAACAATTCGATGATTAACTTTGTACTATTGCTGCTGCTAAAACTAATTGTCAGATATCTATGTCTGAGCCTATTATTACAAGTATTGCTTAATATTCCTTACATATTCGTTATGCATTTTCTTCTGTCGCTTCATTACAGCTCTAATCAAATGTTGTTAGTGCTATCATGATTGGATTTTTCTTGGAAGATTGATAAAATGATATCAATATGTGGCATTTGAATCGAATTTTGGAATGACAATAGCTACTAGCTACTTGATATACTAGAAAAACTATACTTCAAGCGATGCGACCATCCTGCAGTTTCGTGAAACTCTTGTGCGATCTTCATTTCTTAGTTTAAAATGAGATAAGTTGAAACATGGTTTGCGACAAAAATTAACAAACTACTCAATGCATGAGAGCATCAGGCAACAATGATCAAGAGAAGCAACGATAATGGCATCAAAGAAAATAATAATTGTTTGCACGAATATAATAAATTGTTTTGTCTTCATTGTTTCAACAAGAAGTATTATATCATCTCCTAGTTGAAAAATAAGGGAAAAAGGCAATGACTTTTTATTAATTTTATCATCAAAGACAATTCGACCTAAGAGTGGATCACGTCGCCTCGAATATGTTATTAAACGAATAAATGAGTTGCCTCATTCAAAGGTTTTAATCTAAAAGAGATAATTGGTTTTATTGTTACTGAACCATTGATTTCAATCAAATAGTTTTTGAGAAATATATATTTATCGATTATTCGATTTCGAAGCAAGTAATAATAAACATACAATGTAATAAGTTCATTTATACTTTTGTAACATTAATAATATTTCGCGCGTTTATCATTTTAGTATAAGATTGTCTTGCTTAGTTCAATTCACTTCTCTATTAAGTCATATTGACATGTCTTCTACGTTATTATCTGTTTCATTGATTGTTCATCTTTCTCTTCTATTCATTAATTTCGTCACCTTTTCATATTCACAAATAAATACTATTAATAAAGCATGTGCTATAGGTGGTTCTTCTTGCGGTACAGGACAAGCATGTATCAATGGTCTATGTGAATGTGATCCAGTGCATAGACGTTTCTGGACAGGCGAACAATATCAGTGTCGTGTTTGTCCACTAGACTATATTCGCACACGTAAGTGAAAAAATATTCTTCTTTTTAAAATTTCTGTTTTTTATTCAGCAACTCGATGTTATAAATATTTTAAAGCATCAAAAAATCACAGTGAAGCACGTGCTGATTGTCGTAATAATCATGCTGATTTATTTTCATGGAGAGATAATTCTGATGAAAATGAATTATTAAAAGCATCAGCAGCACATTGGAATTATAATTCTCTTTCTGTTAAAAATCAATTTTATTCTTGGAGTGGTGGTATGATTCATCATGGTCAAGGTTAATTATAGAAATTCATTTTATTTAATATTTATTATAAATTTCTATATTAGGTTCAAGAGCAGAATATAAAATAACTTGGTTTGATCCAAAAGCACCAACTATTCCTCATCCAGATACAAATGATCCACTTACTGAACGATATTGTAATGAAATGGCGATAGCAAATTATCATGGAGATCCTGAACCTACTCGACAAACTAAAAATGGTGAAAAAGAAAATTGTGTTACAATTGTTTTTCTTCCTCAACCAAACTCACGTGGACATATTTGTATGGCTGATGATTATTGTTCAACACGAATGGGTTATATATGTGAATTAAGTAATCATTGATTTGTCTTATTGATTATTAATATAGCTTTGGTTTTTTACTTGTATAGCCGAAGCAACATTATCAGGACTTTTTCCAACACGTAAGTATATATACATTATTTTTGTAAACCTACGAGAATCATAATAGTTATTTTTTACAGAAAAAGTTATTTCTTTTGTTTTCATTAGTTCCAACACCAGATAGAATAGTAGATGGTCCTTCAGAGAAACCTTTTGCTGTTAATGAACCAATGAATAATGATTCTAAACAAGAAGAGTTAACTGACGTGCTTTCACCATTAGAAGAAAAGAAAGACTCGAGTCTATTTAATATATGGATTTATGTTGTTGTTGGTATTGTACTTCTTGTGATTATTATTATTGTTGCATTTATTATTATTCGAAATCGAAAAAATAATTATCCAAATATGAATGTTTCACCAACAAATAGTATTGTTACATCAGTTATGTCAAGCACCGATGTACATCAAAATGCTTAATATTATTTATTATTTATAAAATTATATAAGATCTATAAAATATAAATGTATCTCTTTATTTTATTCTTCTATGTTCTGCTTGTGTTTCATAATAGATATTAGACAAAGAAACGTGAAGTTTTTTTAAAATTTTTGTATGCTCAACAATAGTTATATTAATGTCATTTTCGATTGAATCAAACAATTTTATATATCCAATAGAGTTTTTCTTGTAATACATACTACAAAAGAAATGATACATAAATAAGAGTCAAAGTATAGATCATTAACTTTTACTAGACATGGTCGCTTTATTAGAAGATGTGCACCATGAAATTACCGACGAAAAATTAATTAGATTTATTTCTATAGAAAGTTGTGACTAAGACTGACATCTCGATGTTTAAAAATATTTTTGCTTTTTCAAACTACTATTTGTATAAAAGCATTGGAGTGAAAATTGGTTCAATCATGATTGAGTAATTTATCATACTTAAGAACAGGTCAGATAAGTGAAGAGCGATATTGTTTTACTAAAAGAATTCCTTTTTTTAGTGATAATTCGTCTACAAATAATGAAGAACTATAGGACGAAGTCACTGATTCCATAAAGAGGAAAACGAATTATCGAAAAGGTGAATATGTATTACCATGGTAGTAAAGAAGCTAAACACTATACTTTTTTTTATATCAAATAAAAGTTTGAAAATCATACTGTAACTGTGAGAGTATCTTCCCAACGTCAAATAACTCCGATTGCGGTCCGGTTGCAAAAAGATCGTATTCATACAGGACACTATATAGTACATACTGGACTGTAGGCTAAAATTTTAGTAGAATGGTTATAACTTTATAGGAAAGGTCAATGGGCCATTATCCTTTTGGAATTTTGTTAAAACTGAAACATTCTTTGCAAATATTTTACATGATCAAATATTTCATTCATACTAATTATTATTTCCTATTATTCGAATGTAACTCTGAAATAACTATTTTCTTGCATACTTCATCAATCTAATCAATTAAGATTAGTTTTTATATATGTAATATTTTCAAATAGTCTATCATTATGAAGATTTATTGTAATATTCTATCATATACATACAGGTTCTATAATGCGTATCATATAATTTTTTTTTTTCTACAACAGACCGATTACTTTTGTTTTGTCGCCTGCATTTCAGCATTTTTTTGTAATTCGAGATGGCTTCCTCGTTCTTCTTTTTCTGTTATGGTACTACAACTCTAATAAGGTATGTGAAAATTCAAGACGAATAAAATCTTATCAAAATATTGTCTTGTTCTTTATTTTTGATATTTATTTTATTATTCATTTACATTTCAGATTTGATCATCGAGAATGAATGATACAATATCAGTACCATTTATTGTCATTTGACTTAATAATTCTCTAGAGAATTCAGAAACTCTTGAACTTCAACGAAATCTTTCTCTATTTATTAAACATTTAAAAACATATATAAATAAAAATGAAAGTGAACAGTACATACAATCATCATCAAAACAACAATGATTTGTTCTTATTACTAGTGGTCGAATGGGTCAAGATTTTATACCACGTATACATCAATTACTACAAATTGTTTCCATATATATTTATTGTATGAATAAAAAACTACATGAAGAATGGTCAAAAGAATATTAAAAAAGTAAATGAAAAGAATATTATTTTCATGTAATAATAAACTTAATCAAAATGAGATTGTATTGATTGTTATTCAAAATTCTCAAATACAGTAATAGATAATCGAAAGTCTCTCCGGCGAATGAAAAGCTATGAATTTATGCTCTTTCCAAATAAGGGCTTAGAAATTATGTTCGAGAGTAGTAAGATAATCTTTGATCAGTTCAAAATTTTGGACAGCCATAGCTAGTGAATATGTTTGTTCAAAGAGTTCCCAGACTGATTTTATTTAAAAACAATAAGAAGCGCTACTATATTTGTAGTATTGTCTGTGCGTAGTTCATACAGTCCTCTATCTATAGACATCATAAGCTCAGTTGAAATAAACATATATATGAAAATATAGAAATACATTTTAGACCACTGTATATACACTGACGGAAAATTAAAAACTTGAGCAAAGTTTTATGCTTTGAAAGGCTAGTTGTTATTCAGTATTTATGACTATATGGTAACAGTTTGCAGTAATAATGCTTTGTCACATATTACGATATTTGATGGGCTTGTCGTTCTAAAGGCTAATAAGAATGATTCTAGATATGGTCGACACATCGTGACATCATCTTAGAGTATGTGGTATTTTCGTAAACTGACTTTAGTCGTATATAATTGATCACATTAAATACTATGCACTGTAAATTTAAAATGTGAACAGTATCTGATATTTATCCAGGTGTAATTCAACTTTCTTACATTATCAGTCTTCTAAAATTTTTTAATAGACATGTTATTGATATATAGATTATTATTAATGTATGATAATCCATCTTTACAACAATGATCCCATGCAGAAGCCGCAGTGAGTGATAGAGAATCGATCATCGTAAGCTATCACTATACATTCATAAATATTAAATGAGGCATGGTTTTCTAGAACAAGAAATTTTCTCACTGATCGACGCTCAAAATTTTTGATTTTCCGTCAGTGTATATACAGTGATCTAAAATGTATTTCTATATTTTCATATATATATTTAATTCAACTGAGCTTATGATATCTATAGATAGAGGACTGTATGAACTACGCACAGGCAAACATACAAATGCAGCAGCGCTTCTTATTGTTTTTAAACAAAAATCAGTCCGGGTACTTTTTGAACGCATCATGTATGTATCTGAACATTCATCTATTGCAATGACATTAGAGAACTTAGGACTTGTCTATGAAAATAAAGAAAATTTTCAACAAACATTATCTTATTATGAACAAGCAGCAAAAATCTATCGGAAACTATTACCACAAATGCATCCAGATGTAATGCAAATTGATGAAGCTCTTCGAAGAACCGAAATCTGAATTGATTTTTAGAAAATAAAGACACATTGAACCAGTAATTCGAAAAAAAGTAAAAGTTGATAATTCAACATTAACATAAGCTTCAAAAGAAATTGATAGCTTTTTACAGGAAGAATATTTCACTAGTGATCATATATTCCAAACAACGAAGTTCAATAATCAAGTTCTTAAAATAAACTTATTAGGGAAAACATGTATGCCTGATACACTAGCAACAATTGAAAATTTGTTTCTGCAAGCCAATATTTATATTTTAATATGCTTGATGTCAATGTTCATAAATATTCTTTTTTGTTTCTAAACAACTTTGATTTCAGGCTATTATGTATAAAAATTTGATCATTTTTTCTACTGTCTTGTGAAGCTACATGGAAAAAAAAAGAGTTAATTTTATACTCCTTACTTTGTTGACAAGACTATAGTAGCGTTATGTGCGATTGTTCTTGTTTTTGTTCTTCTGTGTATAAGAAAAAACTTGCGGTTAACATTTTTTATACAAAATGAGTAGAAATAGACTTGACTCGTTCAATTCTGAAGATGAGATCGATTCATATGTTTTTTACAATTGAATCGATTCTCATATTTCCCGACGCAAAAAGGAGGCGACTGTCTACCAAACTTTTTCCGCCTGCCAGTTTCATCGCTGCTATTAATGTCTAATATTCATATTAATGAAGACAAAATAAATGAACTATCTTTTTTTCCCGCATTTGTTGATCTCATCTTTTTTTATCTATGTTTACATTAATCGTATATATCTATAGTAGTTATATTACTATAGTCATTATTGGATTAAATTCAGAAAAAGGCAAGAAAAATATTAGTTATAATGATGATTGTGGAATCTCATTACAAACTAATATAAATTATAGTCTTGGTAGTTCAAACGCTATTCCCGATGCATGGCCATGGATAGCGGTATGTTTTATTCATATATATTCATTATAATCTTAAATAGTTTATAAAAGAGTGTATAGAGTCTTCGACAAAAAATACCTGGTAAAGAAGCTATACATTTTTGGTAAAAAGTTTGATATTGATATTAACGATTGAAATTCAATTTATTGTTTGTCTTAGTGGAGGTTCAATTATTTCTCCTCGACTTGTATTAACAGCTGCTCATTGTTTTCATAATATAACTATTTCAACAGATCCAAATTATGCTCGACGAATAGGTGAAGTTCATATTGGTCAACTTGGTTTAAATGAACAGGGTCATCGAATAGCTGAATGGATTAAAGTTATTATTCCTGAAAAATTTCTTCCATTTCGACCACATGATTATTCGTAAGCTATTAAATATATATATATATATATATCAATAACTTCGAATAGTAGTATTATTTATTAGATAATTGTTATTATTTAGTTATGATATTGCTTTATTAGTACTTAATAAAGATATTATTGATAATCAACATTCTGCTATTTGTTTACCATCATCAAATATTATTAGTAATATTGGAGATTATGGAAGTAATTAATTCATATGATTTAGACTATTAAATTTAATAGAATTATATTTTAGCTATTGTTGGATGGGGAATACATAATGAAACTGATACTGAAACATCTAATTATATGATACAAGTTACTGTACCTATTCTTGATCCAACAATTACTGCATGTAATCCATTAATATTACCTCCGAAAAATTCTTCAATGACTATATGTGCTGGCGTTTTATCTGGTGGTATTGATGCTTGTCAAGTATGAGATACAAAAAAATTCTATGTTTTATAATTAAAACTATGAAAATCAATTTTTTTTTCGGATAGGGTTTTTCAGGTGGACCATTTGCACAGAAATTTAAAAATCGTTGGTATAATATAGGGTTAGTTTATTTAATTCAATATAAACTTGTTTGAATTACTGTTATTGATTTTGACCTTTTGGTCGTCAATGTTAAGAGTATTTTATAAAGATATGTAGAAAAACAAAGTTTTTTAAATAAATACTTGAAGTTTTGTTTTTCTTACTAGAGGACATTGACAACTATAATACATGTTAAAATATCCT